GATTAATTATTATATTTAAAAAAAATTGAACTTTAAAAACAAAATTTTGTAAAAAATAAACATATATATTATATTTAATATTTTTAAAAGTTTAAGGGTAATTTGTCAACTACTAGAAAAAATTTCATTAATCAGTTAACCGATCGTTATCAAGTATTATTTTAAAATAAAATTAATAATTTAAAAATTATTTTAAAAAAATATTGTTTCTAAACTAAATTGATATAACTTACCTATGTTATTTATTGAATTTAGCCGAAAATATCGGCTGTTATTAAACTTGAATACGATTCCATTGACAATGAGTGCCGGTCCGAGCGGTAAACGAAGAGATGCAATTCTGGATTTCCGCACTCTTCCCGCCGATTGCCTCGCCGTCATCATCTCCTTAACAAGTCCTCTCGATGCCTGTAGATTGTCACTAGTTTCCCCCTTTTTCAATTCTGTCGCCAGTTCCGATGCCGTTTGGGTTAAGTTCCTGCCGACCGATTACCAGAATTTGGTTCCCGCATTGCCCTCCGTTTCTTCCTTAAAGAACCTTTATCTCAGCCTCTGCGATCATCCTGTCCTCAGTGAAGATGGCAAAAAGGTAAATCTATACATCCAACTCCCACCTGCCTTTTGATCTTTTCATTTCCCTGTGCCCTTATAAATCCTATAGTTTGGTATGTTGTGTTCACTGGAAAATGATTTACTCCCTCTTAGGATCTTCTTAGTTCTCCTAGTTCATCAATTTTATACAAATTAACTTGATGATTTTGTTTAACAAACAAATCATAATTGAAAAAAAATAAATTAATTTAAGTGAAAATACTTAACTTATGTATAGGAAGAAAATTGCAGTTATAATGTATTAGCTATATAAAATCATATAGTTAAACTTTATGCAAAAGTTAGTTTTTTTTTTTTTTTTTTTTTTTGGGCCGAGAACATAGAATGCAAAAGTTAAATTAAAACAACTAAATAGCTATTTGGTATAGTAGTTTGAAATCAGCATATTAGCAGTTTTATCTAATGTAATGAATAAGAGTGTTTGAATTATTAGATATGATACTAATCTAATAAAGGAATAAATGTTTTCTTAGGGTATTTTTGGTTTCCAATTTCCCTCAAACCAACCATACCCTTAACAAAATCTTGCATTCCTAAATCTTACAATCTTAGACATAGTACTAATCTTTTCAGTTTTTATCACTCAGTAAGATACTTGAATCCATATGCATTCACTCGTTATGTGCATATTATAAGATTTAATTGTTTGGACTGAGTATGAATAACCTCAGTTTGTACGCTTGGGAAAACCAAATTCTGGTAATGCCTTCATTTTTGGATCAATTGCTGTGTGTAGCTAATTGAGCTATGCGCTTTTTGTCTGCTGTGAATGGTTTTGCCTAAGAACTATTTAACATTTTTTTTTTTAACAAACTTCCTAAGGAGTTTTAACATTTATTTTGTGTGTAGCTATATATGACTTGTTAAGAGTCATGACTTCTTGCAATTTTCTTTTGTGTTGATAGCCCTGAATTCATGTCTATGCATAAAGCATCTAACGACAAAGATTTTTATTGGTATAATTTAAAAAATGGATGTGTTGCCTAAGTATTCAATGCTTCTTTTTTTTCCAAATATGCTTGCTAGAGGATTATGTTCTTGTTGGTGATATAATGATTGATGATGATTATGTCCTTTCTATGGTGAGTTCATTTGTTTCCTTGGTTCCTTGTTGATATTTTGAAGCTTTATCGTTACTCCTTTCCAAATTATTCTTTCAGTACCAGTTTTTTTTTTTTTTTGGGCCAACTTTTTCAGAACCAGTTGAGTCTTTAACTGTATAACTTGCATGCACAGAGCTTTTCACTACACAAAAGGAGTGGGAAGAAATGTTACATGCTAGCTGCCAGGGACCTTGCAATTACATGGGGTGATACTCATTGGAGTTGGAACTCCGTACCAGATTCCAGGTTTCTCTCTCTCTTTCTCACACACATACACACCACACAGAAAATGCAGACAAAAGGCATGCTTGACGCACTTACATTCACACCCAACCAAAAGAATTCAAGCATGTAGTTGATTGCTTTTAGGTATCTTCACCAACTGAATGAATAAATATGTGAAGGTTAATGTCTGTAATTCATGCATAATTACAAACAGGTTCCCTGAGGTTGCAAAGCTTCTTGATGTTGTTGGTTTGAAATCAACGGGAGGATTGGTACTTCCATGCTTTCTTCAATGACAAATTATAAGGCATACCTAGTGTTCAAGCTGGCAGCCAGTGTTTATGGATTTAGACATGAACCTATAGAAGCTAATATTTGACTCAGTGGAATTGAAGGTTTACAGCGTACTGTGTTTCTGCATGCAGAAGGTGAAGATGTACAAAATGATTACTGGTACCCGATAGAGAGGGAAGATGGTTGGTTAGAGCTAGAGTTGGGTGAATTCTTCAATGAAGGAGGTGAAGATGTCAAATTGGAAATACGGATTTTTCATTTTGATGGT